TATGATTCTACAATAGCAGTTAACGACACATCAGGGGCCGAAAGAGTGACGTCCATCAAGTGGATAATAATATAATAATCCTTGCATTTGATATAGTGCCTTATCACGTCTTCGAGAAGTCTCAAAGTGCTTCACAGAATACACTGCAAAATGTATTGACTGGATATTTTGTGGGCGAAACACAGCAGCCAATTGCGCACAGCCGTGTCCCATAAACAGTCGTGGATTGAGTGACCAATTTTTTTTAAAAGGAATTATTACCCCTGGAAAACCGGGTTCCTACTTACTGCTCGGAAACAGAGGCGTGTGGAGTAAGGAAACTTACCTAAGGTTTCGCCCTCCCAGGAATCGAACCCAGGTGTCTCGCTTGCGAGGCAAGTCCTCTAACCACTGAGCTACAGGACTCCACTAGGTAGGGAGGAGCAAGACTGCGGAGGGCTAATTTACAGGGCATCTTATGAAGAGTTTTTGGATGTCTCAACGATATGATAAGGCGAGAAATCAAATTGCAAGGTATTATTATCACTTCACAGATACAGTAGTTCTGAGCTATGCCAGCAACATGCATACGAGGTCAGAGCTACAGTATATATGCTTTCACCCACAAAATATACAGTCAATTCACTTTACAGTAGATTCTGTGAAGCGCTTTGAGACGTCTTGAAGACGTGATAAGGCGCTACATCAAATGCAAGGATTATTATCATTTTTATGTTATATTGCATTGAGACCTAAAACAGACTGTGAGGATGGCTCCTTGGGGATTGAGGCTATAGGTTGGGTCTGTGGCTGGGTGCTTTCAGTCTCGAGTCCTCAATCCATTGGGGAAACGAGGTACAAAGCTCGTTATTATTATATATTATATCAAAACCTAGCAACTTGCAAGCAGCTGCTAACTAATGCCTCAAAGGTGTTTGGGAAATATCCTCTCAGCTGGAAATTGGTGCGTTGGGTTGAATTGGATTGCGTTGCAATGGGGTGGGTTAAATTGGGTGGGGTGGGTGGGATAAATCCTGGCCACCAAAAAAAGCAGCACAAGCTTTTTTTATACACATAAAAAAAGGAAAGGGAAATGAAGCTCAAAGACTTTTAACAGGAACAAGAGCAATTGTCCCCTCAGCCAGAAGATCTTATGGAAACAATGCTGGGAGCTTTCCATTGGCTTCCGTCCGTCCTCCGGTGAGGCAACCCAATTGGGGACTGCTTTCTTACCGTAATAAAAATTTTTGTGTGTAAAACGAGCTTTTTCCTGACACTGCAGCTCCAGAGAGACTTGCCAATTGCTTGACTGTCACATAATCATGTGTTGATCCAAAGGTGGAGGAAAAATCAGCTGCGTTTCCAATTAATTGATAGAGGTTTCAAGCCTCTTAATGTGACAGCGTGCCTCTTCGCAACCCGGGTAAATTGCAGGCCATCATCAGAAGGAAATGAATCGCGGTCCAATCGGCTGGTGCGTTTTAACCACCAAGATATACGGTCACTACACTTTCCTGTATATCCTGTGAAGCGCTTTGAGATGTTTCAACAATGTAATAAGGTGCTGTATCAAATGCAATGATTATTATTATTACTAACACATAGATAAATAAAAAACACGATAAAACCGTATATCAAATTCAAGAATTATTTATTGGAGGGCATTGCCCAATCACCCACCATTCTCCAAATCAAGGGGATATGATCTTAAAATTAGAGCGAAGGCTGGTTAGGATTGAGAGCCTTTCACACAGAAGGTTGTGAAAATATGCATTGCACTGCATTGAGAAGGCAGGTTCAAACGGGAGGTTTAAAAGGGAGATTAACAGATAATAATAATAATAATACTTGCATTTGATATAGCGCCTTATCACGTCTTCGAAATGTCTCAAAGAGCTTCACAGAATAAACTGTAAAGTGTGGTGACTGTTATATCTTGTGGGCGAAACCCTGCAGGGAATTGCACACAGCAGTGTCCTACAAACAGTTATGGATTGAGTGATCAAATTATTATTATTATATTTTATTGAAGGGAATATTACTCCCGGAAAAGCGATCCGACAATTGACTAACAACCGGGTTCCTACTTACTGCTGAGTAAAGAGAGGCTTGTGTGTGGCGTACGGAAACTTGCCTAAGGTTTCGCCCGGCCCGGGAATCGAACCCAGGTCCTCTCGCCTGCGAAGTGAGTGCTCTCACCACTACACTGTATATATTATTATTATATATTACATACAGTGATTCATTTACTTGGAAAGTGAAGGTATGATGGAGAAAAGGCAGGGAAATGGAATTGAAAGTTTTACCATTACCTAATAAATTGACAGAAAGTGTTTTATATGGACTTAGCAAAGTAGTTATCCGTGAAGCTCATTTTGATGTAAGACCTTACTAAGGGTGCTGCAATGTCATGTGTCCTAACAACGCTCTGCTCAGACTCACACGTGAAAAATAATAATTCAGGCAAAGTAGCAGAACCTGATTGCGGTATGGGTCAGTAGAGCACTTTCAGTAGAGGAGGGGAGACAATTGGAAGGGTAGAAAAGACAATTTGCTTCTGATGAATTGAGCTGCCGGGCTATCTGAACACTCATGCATTGACAATGTAGAGCTATCAGGCACTTCATATTATATCGCAGCATTTTTCCCGTTGCACTATGATTTGGGAGCAAGGGAGGGTTTGGAACATTGGCTAGAAATGTAAATTGAGGCGCATTCCTCGTTTGCAGTTTACATTACTGAGAGTGTTATTTATCTGCAAATGACTTGCGTGTCAGAAAAGAGAGGTTGGGGGCTGGGTGGGGGGTGGGGGGGTGGGCAGAGGATTGCTTTAGGAGGAATGCCAGGGTCTTTGATGAGGGTCTGTGCTTTCTCACTAAGGAATGTGAGGTAAGACACAGTACCATCACCGCTCTCTCTTGCTGTTCTTCACATCGCGTAGGCATTCTGTGAGTCAGAGCATAAGAATGCATGAGAAAAAAGCTATTCGGTCCGCCTAGCGATTGTAATACAGAGCCCACCATAAGGACCGTGGAAGATAAAAATAATACAACAATAATAATAATCCTTGCATTTGACATAGCGCCTGATCACGTCTTCGAGACGTCTCAAAGCGCTTCACAGAATCATACTGTAAAGTCAATTGTCTGTATGTTTTCTGGGCGAAACGCAGCAGCCAATTGCGCCCAAAGTGTACCCCAACGTCCAGCCATGGAGCGAGTGATCAATTTTATTTGGGGGATGGTCAGCCAGGCACACCGAGAAAAAAGAAAGTCCCTTCTCTTTTCGAATGGCGCCACAGGATCTTTAACGTCAAGGCAGACGGGTCCTCGGTTTAACGTCTCATCCGAAGGACGGCACCTCCGACAATGCGGCATCAGCCCCCCCACCCCCCACCCCAGCGTTGCGTTGCTTAGACTGTATGGGTTCAAAGTCCAAGTGTGGCTTGAACCTACAATCTTCCGACTCAGATGTGAGAGCGCTACCGACGGAGCCAGGCTGACACGTGGGAAGAAGCAGGAAAGCCAAACTTTGAAGGCGTTCCCATTGGCACTTAACGTCGCAAAGTTCCATGTAAAGTTGGAGACGTTTGTGAAAACAACCCTGAATATAACCGACCATTTACTCCACCGCTAGCGAGAGAGTGAACTCAGTCTTGCCTCTGGTTTTCTCTCAGTGAATGGATGGTTCGACAACACACCATCGCTTGCGATCACACTTTCCTCTGCAAAGTCTTTGGAGCTTTTTGTGCTAGTTTTAGTTGAAATATCATCAGGTGAAAGATGATGAATCTCTGACACATACATAGAGAAGATGTAGCTCCGAAGACAATACAGTAATAGAAACTCCGAGCAATCGAAATTAGTTTGAAGTTGTATTATTAATAATCCTAACATTGGACACAACGCCTTTCACGTCGGGAGGACTTCCCAAAGCGCTTCACGGGATTTACTTTAACGCAGAGTGGCGAGGTGTTTTGTGGGTGAACACAGGCAACAATAAAGAGAAATGTCTTTCTCTGACTCATGAAAAAGATACATCAGGCTATCCCTGAACTACATTCCTGCAGCCATGAATCTCCGCTTAATATTACATCTCCCAACCTGCCTATTAAATTCTAAGCTGCCTTCTTACCACACGCAAATAAACTCGAGCATGTCTCTTGAAATTCATCGAATCGTAGAAAGTTACAGCACAAGAGGAGGCCAGACACAACTGTTAAAACCTCTCTTCAAAGAGAAAATAAATAATCCAAAAGGTACTCCTTCCTCCCAATTAATAATAATTGTTGCATCTGATATAGCGTCTTATCGATGTCTCACAGCGCTTCACAGGGTATATCGTAAAGTGAATTGACTGCGTATTTTGTGGGCGAAACATGGCAACTAATTGCGCCCACAAACAGTTGTGGAACACTGTAACGGCTACTCCTCCTCAGAGACAGACCCCAGTTTGTAAGTCAGTGTAAGAACTCTTGTGAAATACCGCAAATAAATTCCACCTACCGCTATAATAAATAATCCCTGCATTTGATATAGCGCCATCCTTCCGATGTGAAAGGCACAATACAAATGTCATTTTGTTGGTGGTGTTGTTGTCACATCATTGAGACTGTCGCAGATGGACAGAATGTCATTGGTCTCTTTGACCAGGGCTATTTCTGTGCTGTGGGCGGCACGGAAGCGAGATCGGAGGGGCTTTCGTGAAGGGAGTGGCGGGAGAGGAAGAAGCGAAGCTGAGAAGCAACAACTCATTCCAGCAACGCCTTCGCACGTCGGCGAGACGTTCTCAAAGCGCTGCCCAGAATAAACCATCAAGTGGATTGGCTTTAAATCAATATTTAAATTCCATTTTAAAAATAGAAAAAAAATTGCAAAAAATATTGTTTTACACCCATGAAATATCTACTTTCCAAAAAATAGTATTATATGTGTATGTATATATATATATACATAGGTTTTTTTTTAATTCATTTGCAGTTCAGCAAAAAAAAATCTAACTCCAGTGAGATTGCTGAAAGCCAAAGTGAATGACTTCCCTTTAAAAGGGGTGAGTGAGGGGTGGTTTTTTTTTTACTGAGTGTTGATGGGTTTCAAAGGGGATTGGGCTGGGCTGAGCTGAGCTATTATTATTGTCATTTAACATCCTCTGACCCAGAACAGCAATTGAATAGGGCTGCTAGGACAACCAAGAGGTTTACACAGACACACACACAGCAGAGAGAGACACACACACACACACACAGAGAGAGAGAAATAGAGAGAAAGGACACAAGAACACACAGAACATCATTCAGGTTGGATCAGACACCCTTAATAAAAAAAGCCCTCCAGTCTCCAAATCCATGAAGAGTTTTAACCTGTGACAAAAATTACAGATCAAAGTAGATTTTCTCAAGCTTTTAATAGACTTTTTTTATATATACATATATATGGCAACATCACAGCATCAGAGCCTGGGAACAAATCCTTTTGGAAGAGAAGGAATGAGGAGTTTGGTTGTCTTGTGTTTTGTTGGTAAGTCCACAACTTTTGTTTTTTAAAGAGGTTTTTTTTTCCCCCCCCATTGTGTGAGAGAAACTTTTTCTTTTCTTTTGGGAGTGTTCAATTTATTTTAGAAGGAGATGAAATGAGAAATCGAGCCCTTTCTTTTCTTTCTCTCTCTCTCTCTCTCCACTCACAGTGATGTTAATTTGCACTTTTGCTAAGTTTTGTATACAAATGCCAACTCAGGAAGTTGTTAGAATTGTCTGTGCAAAAACGTTGTTTATTCCGAGTTTTCTTTCTGTTGCTGTGTTCATTTCGCCCATAGATACTGTATGTAAAGAAAACATACACTTTGCAATGTATTCTGCGAAGCGCTTTGAGACGTCTTAACGACGTGATAAGGCGCTGTGTCAATTGCGAGGATTATTATGATGATTATTATTATTTCTTCAGTGAGCGACTAGTAAATGGCTCCCGAGGGAGGCGGTAGAAGCAGAAAGTGTTGTTTCTTTCAAAAAACAAAATAAATTTGATTCCCGGGCGGGACAGGTTTCGCCCGGCGAGAAGGACGATCCATAAATGCAAGTTGTTGTGGTTGTTATGTTACTGTTAAAGGTTCCCTATGGTGTGAGGGATACCGCGTTTGCTGGATGATGGGGGTCTTGCTGTGTGTGGTGGGTAGGTGTGGGGGGGGGGGGTGGTTTATCTTTCACCAGCTATTATCCCTCTGAAGTCACAGCTTTACACAGTACAACCATGAGTTTATGAGCCTTATATCCACATAATCTAGGACCACATCCACTGTACATATGAAAAAAGTGTGGATACCAGATGTTTGTATTTTTGTATGTGCGTCTACGTCTATCGTTCTCTCTTGCCGATTGCTGATTGTCTGCCTCTCTCTTTCTGCCTCTCTGTGTGTGCATAATAATTATAATAACCGTTGCATTTGGTATAGTGTCTTTCACGTCAGGAGGACATACCGAAACGCTGCACAGGATACACTCTAAAGTGCAGTGCAGTGATTATATCAGCCACTGCCCCACTGGTATAAATGCAAGTTGTTTGTTGTTGTTGTTGTTATTAAATCGTGTAGATGCTTTGCGACACCTCAACAACATGATGAGGTGGTGTATCAAATGGTAAGGATTGTTATCATTTCCCCTTAACAGTTAGTTAAGATCCGCACCAATACGAACAGGCTAGTTCTTCTCTTAAGTTCTCTGATCAACTGGTGTGTCCCCTCATTGCTCGCTCATCTTCATACCTTGCCTGAGATTTCAAACGTAGTGTCCATTCCCTGTACAAACACACGGCGACGGCACAATCGCAACAGGACTCCACCCTCAGAAATTGGGCAATGTAATAGTGAAACAGGGACGTGTTAAGAGGTACTTACGCTTACCTTTTGAGCAACACAACGTGAGGGCGAATATGCTGAAGTCCACCTTGTGAGAGAGCCCATCGATCTCTAGACTGCGATTTAAAAAAAAATGAGGCAGGCCACAAACTCATTTGGGCTTGACTCATAGATGGTTCCATTAACGTTCTCCGAAGGCTTCGTTAGACGCCTCACAAACTTAAGGAACCTTTCTCTAACGTATCAAAGGGCGAGTCGCACGGCTGGCTTTTTTTTTGCACCGTTAAGATAATCCTTGTGTTTGACGTAGTGCTTTTCGCGTCAGGAAGATGTCTCAAAAGCGCTTCGCAAGATCTTACTGGAAACGTCAATTCATCGATTTACGTTTAATCCCTTCAAAAAGAAAACCCAATGATAATTCGGTCACTCAGTCCACAACTGTTTGCGAGTCAGCGCTGGGCGCAATTGTTAGCCACCTTTCGCCCACAAAATATACAGTCGATTCACTTTACGGGTATATTCTGTGTCTCACCGACATGATAAGGTGCTGTATCAAATGCAAGGATTATTATCATTTAAAGCGCCCTCAGAAGGTTTTACTGGAAGCAACAATTTACATTCACAGGGGGCCTCTCACGCCAAGAAGGCGTCTCAAAGCGCTTCACAGGATAACTCTTATAAAGCAAAGTGAAGCGTATTTAGTAGGGAAAAAAAGCGGCAGCAAATTTGCGCGCGGCAAGGTAACGAAACAAATGCCCGATATCCGAGCCCCGAGCACCTTTGGGTGAAGACAAGCGCAGGGAACCGGTGGGAAGCATCAATCATCTTTCCAGTTCCTCATCTCTCTCTGCTGCTGTCAGCGATAGAGATTTGCTTCCAGCAGCGTAAACACGGCTTCGAAGGCACACCCCTTGCTTGGGAGAACCCGATCGGAAATGTTTCGATCTTGCAGACGTCAAGACCGTGATGAGAGGATTGTCGCTCTGGCGTTTTCTGCTTTGCTCCCCGGCAACCGAGACCATAAATAAAAAAAAAAATACAATTCGAATAAAAAAAAATACAATTTCAAACGGGGGTTATTCTTCCTGGATAAAAGCGTTTCTTGGATCCCACTTGGAGCTACGCGCCTAATCGTAGGAAAGGGTTGTATTGTTTCGCGAATGTACCGACCATGTTTACGGTCACCTCACCTCCTCCCTCCCCCCCGGCTCGGTGTCAGGCTCCGAGACCCTATATGATTTTTTTTGAATATTGCAGCACAGAAGGAGGCCATTCGGCCTATCGTCCCTGTGCCGAGCTACCCAATCAGTCCCATCTCACCCCCGCGCTCTCCCCGTATCCTTGCAAATCTTTCCTTTTCAAGCACCGAGCTAATTTCCTTTTGAAAGTTCTTATTGAATCTGTTTCCACCGTGCTTTCAGGCAGTGCATTCCAGACCGTAACAATTCTCTGTGTTAAAAAAAAAATCTCCTCATCTCCCCTCTGGTTCTTTTGCTAATTCTATTGAATCTATGTGCCCTGGTTACTGAACCACCTGCGAGTGGAAACAGTTTCTCCCTTTCTACTCTACTGAAACCCCTCAGAATTTTGACCACTTCTTATTAAATCTCCCCTTAACCTTCTCTGCGCTGAGGAGAACAATCCCAGGTTCTCTAACCCTCTCCACGTAACTTAAAGTCCCCTCATTCCTGGTACCATTCTGATAAATCTCCTCTGCACCCCCTCCAAGATCTTGATAGCCTGAAATGCAAGTTGTTGTTGTTGCTGATGAACAAGCTAAGACTTCAAGCTGCCCTGGTTGCAGTTTGGGGGTGGTTGGTGCAATTAATATAGATAACATGTCCAGTGGGCTTGTGAAAGACAACTTTAGGTCAGATTTACGAGTATTTTGTTACAGCAGTTAATTAATGGCTGGAGTGTGTTACCATCATTTGAGAATGGCTTGATGCTCTGATTGGAAAATACTAGGTTTGTGTTCTGCAAGAATAAGTTTAGGTGGGCCAAAGGGTTTTCCTTATCCATGTTACGATCTTTTAGTGATCTCAAGTGAAAAGGGTTGAAGCCCTTTACGGAATTAGACACATTTGAGGGCTTTGAGACGTCAGCCAGAAGGTTGTAGGTTCAAATCCCACATCGGGACTTGAACTAACATAGTCTAAGCTGACGTTCCAACACAGCGCTGGGAGGATATGTTGTCGGAGGCGCCGTCTTTTGGATGAAGCGTTAAACCGAGGTCCCGTCTGCCTGTTCAGGGGGACGTTAAAGATCCCACGGCACTGTTCAAAAGGAGAAGGGAGTTTTTCTCTCTCGGTGTCTTGACCAACAATTCCTCCCCCACCCCCAAATAAAATTGGTCACTGACTCCACGGCATTTTGTGGTACACTGCTGTGTGCAATTTTGCTGTCGAATTTGCCTACAGATACTCCACTTCCTTAGTAAATGCTGTGAAGCGCTTTGAGTCGCACTTCTGACGATCGGGCGCTATAGCAAATGCAAGGATTATTATTATTACCTTGACGTGAGAGGAGTTGTATCAAGCCCAAGGATTATTATTATTTTTCATGAACATGGCTGCCCCCGTTCCTCCCAACTTTCGAATACGCTGTCCTCCACTCGAGGCAAGTCCTCCTCCCTGCAAACCAAAGCCAATCTCGCTGCCTCGAGGCTGAATTGTGGAGTGTGGCCCTTTACCTAGATTTCACAACGTTCAATAAAAAGTTGAGGTGAAAGTTGAAATCTCCGATATAGTAAATATCCCAAGCGATAGTTCCCTTCGATCCTAACTATTCATTGTCGCTCCACATGGCTCACAAAATGCACACAGTTACAGTGCATCCCATGAAGCACTTAGAGACACCTCGACGATGTGATAAGGCGCTAGGTCAATTGCAAGGATTATTATTACATTTATTATCATCACCATGAAATGGCGCGAGGCAGCAATAAGCAAAGCAAACAGGACGCAGGGCTATATCACAAAATGCGTCACATAGAAGTCATCCGAAGTCACACTCAAGCTATGCAGCCCTCTGGTCAGGCTGCACCCTAGGGTGTTGGGAGATGGTTCGGATCGCTGTGGCAATCAAGGGACCCCTTGAGGTAGTGCCTCATAGATTAGTGGGTATTCCTGCCGCCGTTGTGTGCAATTGGCTGCCTCGTTTCGCCCACGCAATACGCAGTCATTTACACTTTACAGTGCATCCTGCGAAGCGCTCCGAGACGTCTCGCAGACGTGATAAGGCGCTACATCAAAATGCGAGAATGATTAGTATTTATTCCAAGTTGAAACACACGGTTAAAAGTCAGGCTGGCAAGCTTCCCTCGGCCTCTAATCCAATTAAGTCTCCATTATTGTCTGCCGAGCTGTTTGTTGTTTTAATGACGCCCGTAAGTTGTTTTCTCGCCGCCGCGCTGATTAAAAACAAACAAACATGGATCTCGAGGAGGTCTGAATTTAAAAGAAAAACTACCGAGCGAGCGACAGAAATGTTTTTTTTAGAACTGACATGTTGGACCTGTCATCAGGGAGGGAGCCATCACAGAGGGACCGTCAGACTAGGACAACAATAGATTTCCTTTCCCGAGTTTTGCTCCGTTGGATTTATACGGGTTATAAATCCAAACCTTCCAACTTTAATGCGCGCTGAACGGGAAGGCAATCTTTTATTT